TGGAGATCCATTCTCCTTCAGCACATATCGAACGCTGCACGGGAAGGGGCACAGAGAGAGAGAGCCATGACAACAAGCCCCTCGTTTGTCCTCTTCTCCCTCTCTGCCTATGGGTTACTGGGAAGCTCTGTTTGAGAACATATACCACGACTTCGATAGCACCCTGCTATAGTTTTCTTTGGTCAGGTTGAGTGTCAGTGGTCAGGGGCATCAATATGCAGCTATGCTGTGCCTCGAGTGCCAGTGGTGTGTGTGGAGTGTATTTTCTGGCTGTGACAGACCTTTCTTTGTTTCGTGGGTGTTTTGCTGGCTTGTGATGGGGTGTGAACCTGCAGTCTGTAGAATTTTCCATCTGGCGTTATTGAGTGATAGACTGCTTTGGTCTTCGTCACAGGTACTTTGAGGGCAGAGGTTGGTGCCCACCTCCTCCGATTCAGAGGGGTATCAGTTGCTAGGCAGTCGTCAATGCTTAACCGCAGCCGGGGCTTAGGCAGATTATCGCTTTCAGTATCATCGGTTTTGGGATTGTGCAGACTGTAGAGGGTTCAGCCTTCTGATGAGTCCGTGAAACCCCGAGGAAACAGTTTTGTCACAGGCCCTTGTTTGCTGTCCTCTTCTCCCTCTCTGCCCATGGTTTACCGGGCAGCTCTGTTTGATGATATATATGCTCATTATATTGCGTATACAATATATAGTCAAACAGAGCTGCCCAGTAAATAAATATATTATATAATAATATAAAATATAATAATATAAGATATAATAAATTAAAAATAGAATAAAATAAAATAGAATAAAATAGAATAGAATAGAATAGAATAGAATATATATAACATAATATAATCTAACATAATATATGATATAATTAGTAATCACTAATTAGTAATTACCAGTTATAGAATGCCATGCTTGCTCCTGGGAACTGAAGCAGTTCTACCGAGAACATGGGAATGACCCCAGAGAGAGAGAGAGAGAGAGAGAGAGAGAGAGAGAGAGTCTCTTTGCAGACCTGACTGCCTTCAGGTTGTTCCTCCATTCCCCTGGATGATCCTACCCCTCATCCATGCATCCTCCCCTTCCTCTCCTTCCCTCTATCTCTCTGTCCTCCCTCCATCATACTCTTACTCCCCTGTAGCCCGTCCTTTCTCCCTTCCTTCCCTTTTTCAATTATCCCATTGCACGTCTTTCATCTCATCTTATTTTGAACACCTGAAGTGGGATGGGCTGATCTGTATGAGACCCAGATGTGGGACTTGCATTTTATCTTTCCTGACATCTTTGTGTTTTTCCTTTGTTGAAATGTTGACGCGCAGGAAGCGTGTGAAGGTTCTTGAAGAGGCGCTTGAACGGTTAGACAAATACACTAAGAGTGTACAATCCAGGAAACGGGGGAAATCAGAAATGCATGTTGTTAATGCGGCGCCTACCACAGTTTCGTCGAGTGCCATTAATGGGAGCAAGATGGCTATGTCCGTCCTAACAACTGTGGAGGGAGAGTGTGTAGATGGTAGACTGCCAGTGGCAAAGCTTAGGAAGGAGAATGAGGAGAACATACCCGTTGCAGGGCCTATCAAGCGCCAACGTTCGATGATGATTCTAGATTCTAAGGTGAGCAGTTCGGAGTGTGGCGAGCCAAACGAGTCTAGTCCCATTGACAATGACAAATAAGTGAGTAAGAAGTTCAGTTCAGAACCATTATGTGACAATATATGCACACACATATATAGTATGTTTCCGAGCGGGGCCTTCACTTGCCGACGCTTCGCACAATGCACACACTCAGATCATGACTCTGATGACATCGGGGTGGATATGCAGAGTGGCGATACTGATACGTTTTTGTAGCGTTAGTGATTCACCAGAGATCTTTTGGGGTGGACAGGTGAACGAAGGAGGGGGGG